AAAGAGATCAGTGCGACATTGACACATTATTGAAATAGATGAGAGAAGATATAAAAAATACCCGCAAATGTCTATAACTCGTGCACCTACCTTCCACCCATCGGAATGATACCTGAATGCTCACAGCTCAGTGCGTCCCTTGTATCTGAGGTAAATAATCGTAATCCAATAACCTTTTGAAACCATGTGAATTGGAGATGTTTTATAATTAATTCCCTGTGATCACAAGTAATTTAAGATGACAGGTTGTTGCTAACAACAATGGAGCTACTTGTAAAGCGCTGTAACCCAACGAGTTCTGGGTATAATCTTACAAACACAGGGTGAATATCAATAATGACTTCTCAGGTGTGTTTGACTTGTACAGAGGTTACATTCATTGTCTAAGAAAGAGACTGATGGAAACACCCACTGACAGCAAGACAGAGACTCCTTCAACATGTTCCCTCGGGAACATTATAGTTGATTACTATATAGCAATAGAACGTTGGACGCTGATCAGTAAACACCTGCTCTCATCAATACGGGGGCGGTGGGGTAGCCTAGTGGTTAAAGCGTTCGCTCGTCACGCCGAAGACCCGGGTTCGAATCCCCACATGGGTACAATGTGTGAAGCCCATTTCTGGTGTCCCCCCCGCCGTGATATTGCTGGAATATTGCTAAAAGCGGCGTAAAACCAAACTCACTCACTCACTCTCATCAATACAGCGTGACTGTCTGACGCTTTGCATTTGATAGTAGCACAATGAGCTGGAAGAAGATTATTCATTAGCTGCAAACGTACTTCATCGCATAAAACACAATGCCTAACGCCTGCAATAGTGATACCGAAGGATACAATAAGAGTTTACGAGTTGCCACTGGAATACCAGCTGAACATCAAGCGTCCCTTACTGAATGCAATATTGTCAGACAGAACAAGACCACCCATGTCTACATCGAACCTTGAGCAATAGGACAGAATCATTTATACACACCTAAAACTCATCCTCAACACATCCTTTGTCATGAATTTGTTTCAGAACCAAGATGAAAACATCAAAGCTGTAGATGTTTTCATATTCAGAAGAATTAAAATATCCATCTCAAACGATTGTACTCTAATAGTTTCTAAAAAATTCAAAAAGTGTATTGGCAGCGTGTATACTCTCAAGTGTTCATTCATGTTCATTACTACTATATCTTATGTCGTGGTTGATGACGCGTTTACTTTCTTGTTTCAAGCAAACGTTGATGACGTTGGCTGTGTGTTTAGATCTCTTCCTATTGCTGTCTCATCACAAGTTGATGGTTTGTAAATGTTGTTTATGCATTTTGAAAATATCATTTTTTTATTAATGTGAACATTCCAATTATTTGTTTATCAGCAAATTGTTTAATGCTAGTAAACCTTTCATGAATTTGTGATCTATTCTGTTATTTGTCATCCTGACGGTTTTATCATTGTGCGATTGTATAAAATACCTGATTTGGTATGTGTGCTGCATGAAACACAACCTCTTTTCTGGAGGAGCGGGTAAGGGGCCGGAACAACAGATTCAGTTTCATGGAAACCAGGTAATAAGTTGGAAACTAGGTTGGAAACAACAATAAACTAAGCACCAGCAGGAGCCTCCATGGACGAGTGGGTAAAGTCCCGACATGGATACCATCTGGTTACTGGTGCAAAATGTAGTTTCAGTTTTAATGGAAACTAGGTTATAACTTGGAAACCAGGTTGAAACCTACAACAAACTAAAACACGGAAACCAGGTTGAAACCTACAACAAACTAAAACACGGAAACCAGGTTGAAACCTACAATAAACTAAAACATGGAAACCAGGTTGAAACCTACAATAAACGAAAACACGGAAACCAGCTGGATCCTGCTGGAGGAAAGGGTAATGAATCGCACTGGAAACCAACCGGAAATGGTGCAAAATTCAGTTTCAGTTTTCATGGAAACCACAATGAAACTATAGGAAACTACCTGGAAACCAACTGGAAATGGTGGTTTCCATGGCGTTTCTTCTCAGTTTCAGTGTTCCGGAAACCAACCAACCCTTTTTGTAGTGAAGGGTATTTGGTATTTGCGACATAACGATTTTGTCCTCTGCGAACGTTATCAATGAACTTTGGCGTCAGGTTTAATGACGATCAGCTCAATGTTTCTATATTTCATACTAAGCCAAAATAAGGCTAAGGTTAAGTTATATATAATTACTGGGAATGCATTACAATCGATTATAAGCAGGGGTGTGCAGGTTGATGCATTGATGATGTTTTGGAGTCGAGTGAAATCTGGAATCTTCAAGGACATCTGTAGGCAAATCAAGAATTGTTAAATTCTAGTAGACTATACAAGTGGGCAAGCGTGTGCCTCTTTGCATCTCACATTACAACAAGGCCAGCGTTTATGTGAGGATCATATTTTCACCCTGGATACTGCACGAAAACGTTTTGGAAAGGAAATTAAAAGCAGAGTAGGGTCCTTTTTTTCTAAATTGTAAAATCGAAACACCAGGAAGTAACACGTCTCGGATAGCTGCTGGAACACATTTCATAGGGCTAAGTTGATGAAGACATCCAAAGGCAGTTCCACTTGTAACAGTTCTTAAGAAAGCATCAGCTCATGCATAAAGAGTTTTGAAAAGGCCATGTTGTGTTAGAACATTAGTGCATCATATTGACAATCAGCTTATCATTTCAAGTATGTTCTTGTGGATGTCGACCATAGATGTTATGGACACCAGTGAACACATGGGTTAGAATTGACCTTGAGCCACCAACTTGTAAGGAGACGCAGGGGATATGATCCTCGGGCTTGTTGAAGAACTTCTTTGATGAACATCGAGAAGCCGCGGTGGCTGAGCGGGTTAGGCGGCTGACTTTCTGTGGTGGCGATTAGGTGTCTGACTCTCGGTGTGTGGGTTGGAATCCCGGATCGGAATCAATCAAAAAAAACCCCACTAAAATGTGTACTTTACTAAGAGAGTGTTATCCCAAATATACCAAATGTTACTTTGACAACTTTCTAAATGGCAGTGTGTATTCATCCGTGAAACTTGAATTTGAAACTTTGAAACGTACGGAAAATACAAAATAGGACATTCTGTAGTGGTGGCAAGAAGAATTTGACAAGTGCTTGTGGAGGAGAAACTTTCATAAATTGGATTTATGTGGTTTGTGTTTTGGAATGGAAACGATTCATTTTGAAAAAATATGAGAGGTAAGCCACAAAGTGACAGTTGGATTTTATTGTGATTTATGATACAATTGACACCCGTGAAACCAGGATGCTAGAAACACACACTACATGCAGTCGCACGTGCAGCATGCTTTCTCGTTCACAAAGTCCCAACGCAAGTGATGTGTATGAAGAAGTCCATTTAGGATGTAAATAGACAAACATTGTACAAAATAATAACGGAAAATACAAATTAGGACATGCTGTAGTGATGGCAAGAAGAATTGACAAGTGTTTGTGGAGGAGAACCTCCATAAATTGGATTTATGTGGTTTTGTGAAAAAAAAGAAGAAAGAAACCCAAACCAAAATAACAACAGTTGATCATGGATTTGGAATGGAAACGATTCATTTTGGAAACATATGAGAGGTATGTGACAGTGTTTTTTGTAATCTATGATGCAATGGTATTATTAGCACTTCGTTGCATTTAGGTATGCCCATCAATAATTATTGTCTTTGAATTGAATATCGGAAATATGATACCGCTTCATTTCTCTGCCTATCACATGTATGAGTTGATAGTGAATAAAAAAGAATGTGAAGAAATGAAATGTGTCCTTTGTTTTTGTATCATCAGTTTGAAGACACATTATAAAATTATGCTATTATCCACCGAATGATGCGTCAACAACTATTTGGGGTAACATTTCGTCTTGTTCATCTACGCAATCTTACAAATTATATACTCTTTCAAATGTAAATCTGCTATTCCTTCCCCAAGCATATTCATTTTGAATTTTAAGACCTCATAATTATTCTACACACTTACTGATAATGTAATATCATATGAAAGTAGTTAATCTTCGAAACTAAGTTTCAGGAATGGAAACCAAGAGTATACACATGACCATAGTTTCTTGTTGGTTTCCATTTCCGGAACTATATGTTTACAGTATCCATTATTGATTCTGTTAGGAAACTAGGTTACCCAGTTTCAATGAGTGGATACCAGCTGGATGCCAGGATGGTCAACTACATGCCAAACAATTGCAAATTTTAAGTTACTTAGTTCAAAACAGTGCACGGGAAACCAACATGAAACTACATTTTCTGATTTTATGTTGGTTTCCATTTAATGAAACCTCCAATTGCAAATTCCAGGAATGGAAACCAACAAGAAACCTATAATCTTAGTTTCTTGTTGGTTTCCATTTACAGAAATGCAAAAATCAAAGAATCCAAAATGGAATCTAGTTGGAAACTCAGTTTCAGTGAATGGAAACCAACTGGATTCCCCAATTACCCACTATACGGATGCTTTCCAGGTTTCAGGAAAGCAAGTCATTTCTGTAGTGAACTTGAGTATGCTCTGGAGTACCAAATTAGTTGAGAAATGTTGACGTTATAAGCCGATGTGTATTGCTCGAAAGGACCGCCTCCGTGATGTAGTGGTTAGAGCGTCCGCACGGAGAGCGGAAGGTCGCGGGTTCGATCCCCGACCGCGCCATACCGAAATACGTTAAAATATGGTACTTGTTGGTCCCTGCCTGGCGCTCGGCATTAATGGGTACAACAAGGACTGGTCGGCTCGGAGTCAGTATAATGTGTCTGAGTGTGGTATTCACTATTCATACTTCACTGCGGCATGGTGTCTGAGTGGGCTAGCACTATAAAACTAGCTTAAGTCTGGGCTAGTACAAGCAGCCGCACACACACATCCACACGCACGCACGTCGTCATATGAGCGAAATATTCTCAAGTACGACTTTAAACCAAATTTCACCTCACCTCACCTTATCGCTCGAAAGGAAGGGAAATTTTACAACTTGAAAAAGTGTTTTTAATAGCATAAAGACAATAGGTACATGCAATATATGATAATGAAATATCAACTCCAGTGTATATCAAATGGTACACAAGTTCTGCTTGTTGAGGACCCGCTCACACACAGATGGACGCTGAGTATTGCACCCATATTTAAACCATTGCAGGTATGCGCCATGCATCAAGACACATGTCCCAGAACTTCCAGAATACCAGTTTGTATAACTTTTAGATGTGCCTTTGTGCCACTGAAACACCCCGTCCACCTTCTTCAGACCAATCCACATTCCAGTTCCTGTGGAAATATAAATAAGATATGCATTGTTTGTTAAGGGGAGTGAGTGAGGGCGGGTTATGGACTTGTGGGAGTGAGTGAGGGCGGGTTATGGGCTTGTGGGAGTGAGTAGGGATGGGTGATGGGCATGTGGGAGTGAGTGAGGGCGGCTTGTGGGCTTGTGGGAGTGAGTAGGATGGATTGTGGGCACGTTGGAGTGAGTAAAAGGGTTGTGGGAGCTGAAGCTGTTATTGTATCAAAATGTGATGATGGAGCGCGAATTGAGTGATATTTTAAGATTTGTCAACATTATTCTTGCTATATGATGGCAGTTTGTAAACATCCGTGTTCTTTATTTGCAAGGTGAAACATTGACTTCCTGTGCAAGTGTTTGTGACAGGTGCAGCATACTCTCACCTTTCTAACGAATACTTGTATCGTCACTCATTGATGGTAAGTCACAAACACATGAGCTCGAGTTTTCCGCTTATTTCTTTAGTTTGTGCCGTATTGGCGGTTTGTTGTGTGAAATGGGTTGTTTTAGCGAAAGAAAATTTGCCTCAATCGTGGACGAGGGATGCAGGTCAGGATTAAAAGCGGATGTTCTGGTTACTGTAAGAAAGTGTTATTTGAATGCTGGAGTTGTGTACGTGCGTGGTATGTAGCATTGGGCTTGCTGTGGCCCTTTGGAGACAGGGTTGGGCATTTTTGAGGCAGTAGAGAAGAAGGCTGAGTTTGTATTTCAGATGAAGCCGTATATTCTAATAACAACCTACACGGATTGGGGTAAGGCGACAAAAGGAGTAAAATAGTATTTTACCAGCACGGATGACAAGCGTTATGACGAGTTGATCCTCCATGGCGCTATAGATGTTGAAGAGCCGTCCTCCTTCGGCCTTGCACTCACTGGTAGCGACGGTATAGGATCGTGATTTTGTGTTCAACCTGAAACACTTGGACGATGGTTTATGATATATCCATTGGCTCGGACAGTCGCCTGAAACAACAAGAAGTATTGTAATATAACCCATACACTTCAATGTTGATTTCACATAACAGGATCAGTCTCTCAAGCGTTTTTACGTTATAACAACCAATAACATGTATTCATTGTAGGCACTTGTGTTATGGCGGTTATTATCACATCGGGTTCAAACTATTTGTGTCTTTCTTGCGTTTTAATATCACATCAGGTTCAAACTATTTTGTGTCTTTCTCGCGTTCTAAATAGAAAGAACTATTGCATACTCAGAAATACTTATAAAAATAAATGTAGGAAGTGGAAAAGAATAAACTAACAGCTAACAGCCAGAAAGTTATATAACTCTAGACACAATCCTAAATCATTTTGGAAGGAACTGAGAAATATATCTAATCCCAGGAAACCACCACCCGATATTTCTGATGTATAATGGTTTAATCACTTCAAATCACTGTATGATAAAACTGATCTTACTGATCAAGATTAAGATACTTTTGTTACATGTGCTCCACATATATGTCCTGAATCAAGCGATTTTGAGAAACAGATTTTGGATTCTCCAATTAAAGAAGAAGAAATTTTCGATGCTATTAAAAGGTTAAAAATTGGTAAATCGTCTTGGGTCGACAATTTACTAGCAGAAATGATTAAATCATCGGAAAAGGTCGTTATGCCATTTCTTCTCGTATTATTTAATACACTATTTGAGAGCAGCAGCTTTCCAGATGCTTGGAGTAAAGCAATAATTGTTCCATTACATAAGAAGGGTGATATCCACAAGCCAGATAACTATAGGGGCATTTCATTCTTAACTATTTTAAGCAAATTATATACCAGCATATTAAACAATCGTTTAACACAATGGGCAATTTTCATGAATAAGATATCAGAAACTCAAGCGGGTTTTAGAGGAGGTTATTCTACCATAGATCAGTTTCACGTTGAATGCACTTATTGAAAAATGCTTATGTAAAAAGAGAAAAAAATGTTTGTTGCTTTCATAGATTTTAAAAAGGCTTTTGATTTAATAGACAGATTTAAATTATGGAGCTTGTTATCAAGCTACGGCTTGGGTGGGAAAATGATGCTAGCGCTAAAAGGTATTTACTCTTCCGTTAAATCATGTGTGCGATGTAATTCACATTTAACAGACTACTTTAACTGTCCTTTTGGTCTAAAACAAGGTTGTATGCTGAGTCCAATCCTCTTCTCTCTGTTCATAAATGAGCTTTCTATTGAAATTTCACAAAATGGAAAACACGGCATCCAGTTATTTCCCGATATGATAGAAATTTTTATGCTACTTTTCGCTGATGATGTTATTTTAGCTTCAGATACTAAATGTGGTCTTCAAAATCAATTACATATTTTAGCATTGTATTCAGATAAGTGGGGTTTAAACGTTAACCTTGATAAATCTAATATTGTTGTATTCAGGAGGGGAGGTAGACTTAAAAGTACTGATGTATGGTACTTTCAAGGCAATAACTTAAAGATAGTCAATAGCTATAAGTATTTCGGTTTTCTATTCACGTGTAATATTAGCCTGGGCAAATCGTTATCCGATCTCTCCTTGCGTGGTAAAAAAGCATTAATGGAATTAAATGGCAACCTTAGAAAAATCGGTTCGTTATCACCGGATATCTTTTTCAAAATATTTGATAGTCAAATACAATCTGTCCTATTATGTGCTTCAGAAATGTGGGGATATAAAAAATATGAATGCATTGAAAAATACATCTTTCGGCTTGCAAATTATACCTAAACGTTGGACCTCAGACACCTAACGTTATTGTGTATGGTAAATGTGGCCGTTTCCATATTTTTGTAAATGCAGCTGTTCGTTGTCTTAACTACTGGATTAAAATAATAACAATGCACAAAGATCGCATACCAAAGAAAGCTTATGAAATGTTACTTAATCTCGATAACCTTGGCTATGAGACATGGGCTTAAAACAATCGCTATTGGCTCTTTTCTTATGGATTTGGATTTGTTTGGTTATCACAAACTGTTGGAAATCGTGTAAGTTTTAACGCGTTTAGTGGATGTTTTTACACAAAACTGGAGATCCGATCTTGACAATAGCACATGTTATGTTTTGTCATGAAAATCCAAACGTTTATTAAACCCTGAAAAATACCTTTTTGAAATTGCAGATTATAAATTACGTAAATATTTAGTTAGATTTAGAGCAGGATTACTAAGGTTAAAATTTAATGAAGGACGATGGTGTAAAATTAACGCAAATTTGAGAACGTGTCCTATCTGTTACGGAGGTGTAGAAGACACAAACCATTTTACTTTCATTGTCCTAGATATGATGACTTACGTCGTAAATATTTACCAAGTGATTTCAAAACGAATATGCATAACTTTAAGAAACTACTTATGACAAATAACGTACATAGTTTGAAAATGCTCAGCCTATATATAATGCATTCTTATGAACAAAGATGTAAGCTATTACAAGAATGATAATATTAAATACCATATTATACTTTTGTATTATCATATCATATCTTTATCTACTTTATCCATATTAACCTGTATTATATGTTCAGATTACCTGTATACATGTATGCAGATGGGCAAATTGTATTTTAATGTATGAAACTGTTATGTAAGGGCCCGATGGCCTTTGTACGGAAATAAAGTGTTGATTGATTGAACAAATGTCATTACAGGTGCTAATAGTTATGTGTGTTAAGGTAGTCAGCATTAAGTCCAGCCATTACCACACTATATATTTTCAATTTCCTGAGTTTGGCGGTTGCTGCTAAATGTCATTCTGACATTGGGCTGAAATTTGTCCGTCGGTGTTTTGCAACGTAACATCAGCTTTCACTACATGAATTGTTACCCCCTTACTTCAGATAGGTTTACTAGCATACGTACTCCTGCTGAAAGCAATATGAGACACCCCTTGTTTCGCAACGAGGTTTTCCACTGTTTCGTCGAACCAAAGATCACTTTGGTAGCACAGCTCAAGGATGCTATCATAGAACACGGATGCGCATGTCCGATTGTAGAAGCAGACGTCAACACAGTGAGCACGTGACAATGAAGCTTCAGGGTCAAGGTCAGTGGACAGAAGGTTGTGGAACAAGATTGTGACTGACAGTGTAATTTCCATGGCAACCTGTGAGATGTAAGAATGTGACGTTACGTGAGCGAGTGAGTTAACATTTTACATCGCTCCGTCAATATTACAGCCATTTAGCCATGAAAACAAACAATTCTTTTTAAAATTAAGACACAGATATAGGCAAAAGATTCAGTCTTATTAATTATAACCAGGCCACAGATCATAACCAAGGTTTGAACTCCTTCTTGGGGACCAGTACGTAAGTCCCAAACTTTTCAAAGTCAATTTAAACTTACCAGGATTTTTAAACGTAGTATTCTTGTTATTTTAATTTTGGCTAACATTTCTTACAATCGCCAGCAGCTGAAGGGATGGTGTCAATCCAACTAGGGTCCATGCAGATAGCTACGGTACTGTAAGTCCCTATGGTCCCTAGTATAATGATCTACCTTCAGTTGTTGGCGATCTATAGCCAGTTTTTATATTATATTGTCCAAATAGTTTTAATTCAAATTGTGATATTCTAGTTGTTGTACTGTCCTCCGTCGACAGGTTTTTATAATATACATACATTCCATTTCAATGTCATATATGTTCTAGTCACGATATGACTGAAATATTGCCGATGTGACGTTAAATATTAACTCACTCACTTGGGGATCAGGGCACTTACAGTACATTTACTTCCTGCTTGATCCCGCAGCAGGATTTACGTCATCACATTAGTCATCAGTGGCTGTAGGTTATGGTGCTAGCCAATAATAAAAAACACAGAGCAATCAATGTTCTAAAACGACAGTCAATATTACATACTTTGATCAAAAATGGACTTATGTTCAACTGTCAGAAGGACAAATGATTACGCTACTGTAAATGCTCTTGTGTCACAACCATCTATGATTTCAGCTGATCATAAAATTAAACTACATGTAATTATAAAACACACACACGGTACATCGATTATTCAAAATTTATCCATCTGTTCAATTTCTCTTAAAAGCCAAGAACTAAATGATCGTGGGCATTACTAAGAAGAGCTTTAAAGACGTTGAATAATAGTAGACATCTACATAGTCAAGCAAATCATGCCCGACTGTGGTTCTCTCATCACACGGGACACAGAATGGTGGATCCTCAGCCTTCAACGAGTCTTTGAATGGTTAATACGACATCTTCATCATTGTGACCTCATCAAATCAGAACTGACAGGCCAAGCAGGTGTAACCAGAAATTTGTTTTACATGATATAGCTTATTTAGACCTACCTCGTTGCCCGGTTTTTGCAATGGATTTCTGGTGTAGATTCTAATGACATGTTTGATCACTGACACCACTAACACCAGAATTGGTATCAATAATGGAAGCGTTTCCTTGTCACCTGACGCAGCACAGCAGTGCTAATGCCACGCCTCAACACACCTGCGACAACAAACCAGACGTGACGACACCTGTGAAAAGTAACACCGAAAGGATCCTTGAAAGTATTAAGAACTGTTAATGTTTTCATGGCGTAATTGGGATAGAACCGTGTTGGACGCATGCAGGGAGGTGGGGAAACATTGATTTTAGCTCTAAAACCTTTCCACGAAAATCATGGGACAATCTTAATGATCCACATTGTTTTTACTCGTGAAGATCCGGGTTAGGATTGGTCTTCTGCAACAAAGGCTTGTAGCGAGAAGCGACTAAGGAGATCGGGTGGTCAGGCATGTAATCATATCCCAAATCGATGCTCATGGTGTTGATCACTGGATTATCTGGTACAGACTCGATTATTTACAGACCACTGTCATATACCTGGAATATTGCTGAAAGCGGCGTTAAACAACAAAGAAAAGGCGTGTCGTGAAAGCGTGTATATGTCATTCTACGGGTAAATCCACATATATACTCATGCCAATAATGGTTGTCACCCCCCAACCCCACACACCCCACACACCCTCTTCAATAAAAAAATTGAAGGGTGTGACAACCATTATTGGCATGAGTATATACTGACTGGCCGTGAAAGCGTGTATTTAATGTCATTCTACAGGTAAATCCACATATATACTGACTGGCCGTGAAAGCGTGTATTTAATGTCATTCTACAGGTAAATCCACATATAGACTGACTAGTCGTGAAAGCGTGTATTTAATGTCATTCTACAGGTAAATCCACATATATAGTCTGACTGGTCGTAAAAGCGTGTATTTAATGTCATTTTACAGGTAAATCCACATATATACTGACTGGTCGTGAAAGCGTGTATTTAATGTCATTCTACAGGTAAATCCACATATAGACTGACTGGTCGTGAAAGCGTGTATTTAATGTCATTTTACAGGAAAATACATATTACCAATCACACATCTTTACTCAATCTGCAAGAACATTTTGTCCTACTGCGAAATATGGAGCTTATGAAAAACTAAGCATTAGTTTCTTGGGGTAACGTTTGTCTTTTCTTTCACAGTCAAGCTCTGTACACAAGATAACGTTTGCACACATACTCAAAGGTAACATTTCATCTTATTTGTGGGTTCAGTGTTATGTCAAAAGGCGGAGGCTCAATCCGCTTATGCTGACCTCAGACAATTGTATGTCTCATATTTCTTGTAATGGGCCGATCCAGTCTGGCATTGAATTGGTAGATTAGTAAGCTCCTCACTTGAATATAACACCATTGTCTCCCTTTCTTGAAGCATGGTATTTTGAAGGATTCGCGTGATTTTGGTGAGAAGGATCGTATACCCAATATACCACAGGTCTCTTAACAGACATGCAATATAACGTCCAATTTACAATCAGGATCAATGTGTTTCACAACGCAGGTACAAATGTGTCTCAATAACATTCACAAATGGTAACTCGAAATCGAGTTTAAATTTCCTAAATCAAAAACTGATTGCATACATTTCAACAGAAAATATAAGCCGCATAAAGTCACTGAAGTATTCTTAAATGGCACCCACATCAAGGAGGCCAATTTCTTGGGACATATCCTTGACTCTCGTTTGACATTCCTACCTCACATGCTTAATACCTTATAGGGAAATGAATGAAGGGACTAGACGTGTTTAAAGTCGTTTTTAATTCGAAGTTGGGAGATGATCAAGCTCTCCTACACTTATATATACTCTTCAAAAAAGAGAAAAAACTTGACATAAGCCAAATTTGAATTTTAGGCAAAATATTTGACACAAACCAATCCATGCTGAATCCCAGCATGTGGGGGAATGGTTGCCGATGACAAAACGTTTGAAAAAAGAAACGTTTAACAAAAACGTAACGTTACACTCACGTCAGTAGTGATTCGCTAAAACGCACCCTACATGACATGCACGAGCATCATGAAATTGTGTATCACACTGAACTGAAGTCTATGACTGTAGGCTTTAAAAAGTCACACCAGTGGTACTCCACATGCATTGCTTTAAGCCACTATAGACGACAAGAGAATGAAAAGACTGACAGAAGTTCAACGACACAACGCCATCGGCCGTTTACAAGGACGGACATCGCAGCATGATGTGGCAAGGCACTTCAGCGTGTCCAGACAGACCATCTCAAACCTATGGACCGATACAAAAATACTGGGAGTGTTAATGACAGACCCAGGTCAGGTCGACCTGGAGTTACCACCGCCGCCCAGGATCGCTACATAAGATTGAGTCATTTTCGTTCAAACACCACGGCCGAATCATCCACAACAATCCAAATACCTGGACTGCTCCGAATCTCCGACCAGACAGTGCGCAATTGGCTATGGAAAGCCAGACTTTTTGCCAGGAGACCAGTTCAACGTCACGTCGTTCCCTACATCAACGTGATCTCTGGAGCATGACAATGCTCGACCTCAAGTTGCACGTGTTCGACAGGTCTTCCTCCAGCAAAACAATGTTCAGTTGTTACCTTGGCCTTCTCGATCACCGGATTTGTCCCTCATTGAATATCTATGGGATACTCTTAATCGACGCTTGCGCCAGCGTAATCCGTCACCACAGACACTACAAGAACTGCACACAGCATTTCAGCAAGTGTATCAAAACATCCCTCAAGACAGCATTCAGCATCTCCTTTCTTCTATGGGTCACCGCTGCCAAGCTGTTATCGATGCTCATGGTGGTCACACCAGATACTGACATTATACTCTGACCAAGTGGCTTTAATAGCCCTCTGTGGTTTTACCAAACAATTTCTGGATAATCATGTTTTGGAAATTTGTAAAGTGATGATTTTACTGTTACTGAGCAATGATGTCATGTTTGAATCAGTTATATGCACTCAGTAAGTAACCTCCAAAACAGCATGTCAAGTTTCTTTTTTTTGAAGAGTATAGATCACTAGTCCGCTCAAGTCGATTACGGCTCCGTCATGTAGGGTGGAGCCTGTAAAGGCAACCCTAAACTAGTTGAATCTGTCCACCACCAAAGTCTGAGACTTTGCCGTAGATCTTTCTGAACTTCCCCTTTTAATAGTCTTTAGGCATGAGGCAGATGAGCCTTCTCTTAAACAACGCCGAAATAAGCTCCTTTTGTAACATATTACAAAACTATATTCCAGTGAATCCAAACTTGCGTACAATCGTCTTTGTGGATATCTATACTCTCCCCAAAAAGATACGCATATGTGTATTTTCTGGATCAGTTGCAGCCACATTTCACAGTATCAAAGATCAAATGTCTGTTAACATGTATAGTGTATTCAAAGTTTAATGTGTCAAAGCATCCATTCCCAGTGGAGCGTTGTTTTCAGTATCTGTTATGGCCACCATGAGCTTCCAAAACTGTTCGGCATGGACTGAATAAGTCTTTGAATTAGACCTTGTGGAATTCTGGCCCATTCCTCTTGCAATGCCTGCGACAGTTAATCTAAATTGCTAAGAGCTTAGATGTCTGCGTGTCCCACATCATGACACCATCACCACCATAATGGTCAACCTGGGCGACACAATTATGGGCAAAACGTTCATTTCGATGTCGATGTATTCTTCCGTCAGAGAGCGTGATTTGTCACTGAACCACACACGTTGTCGGTTTTGTAGATTCCAAAATCGAACGTTATTGCACCACTGGACCCGTCGACGTCGATGTAGTCGTCGCAACACAGGGCCAAATAGGTCAAAATAGGGTCTTCTGGCTCGAAGCCCAGATTCACCTAAACGATTACGAAGGGTTTGAGATGACAATCTCTTCAAACATCACCTAATACAAATGAAGGGAACACCGAAGTAGGTATCAATAAATTACATGAAATTAAACCAACTATCGGTTACGCCTAATCAGGTGGTCAGTATTGATAAGAGGAGTTCTTATCAAGACGGTGTCGTATTGCCCATTCTATATATACTCATGAATACCTGTTGAAAGGTGAGGATCCTCCATGTGGTATCTCTGGTGATGAGAGAATCACGCTCAAGCATGTCCTGCTTGACTGCTTATATTTTTCCATCAATAAGGACAACTAAGTGTCAGAATCGTGAATGCAACATCAAATCCCAGGTCACCTCACTTTTTTCTAGTTGATTTAGGTTCTCATAAGAGGATCAAAGCACCTTTCGGTTGTTGTGTTTCTTTGAAATCGGAATTTTCGCGAATTGTTTGTTTGGATGCATACCAAAGCGATTGAAGATCTAGGATCTCAAACAAAGTGGTAAAGTCTTCGTATTCAATTCGCCGCAAAAAATACGATCTGTGGTACACTGACATATTCTGGAAATAGATGACACAAGGTATACAGAAAACCATAAATGTCTATCACCCGTGCACCTACCTTTCACCCCGCAGAACGATACCCGATGCTCACAGCACCGCGTGTCCCATGTATCTGAGGTAAATAATACTCGTTGTCCCATAACTGGTTTTGAAATCCAAGTGCATTGGAGGTGTTTCTTATTAATGTATTGTTTCACTTGCTGTATTCACGAACAGAAACCGGTTCAAGAAAGACGATGCATGGTAATTGCCTTTACAAAAAGTCCAATGTATGCACATGAGGATAGAGTTCTCTAACTTGCGTAGAAAAATCAATGAGGATATCTTAGGCGAAGAGAGGATGAATAACGTGACATTTGAACCTCATGGAAGATCTTGAAACTGTAGATTTCATTATTTACTTTAGACTTTTGTATCGTACGAGTTTTGTATCTCACAACTGTTCGTTCATAATGGTTGCGTGGACAATGTCGTCAATGTTGTGTGAGTTTAATTGTGCGTGTTTGAAAATCGATGACAAAATTATTGTCTGAAAATTCGCATCGGTGCTAAAACATGTATGAACATATGCTTACTATATATGAGGATTTAGTATGGAATCCGAGAAGGGACATTGTCGCGTTGTCGCATTGTTGCCCTCTCAAAAACAAGCAAAATGAGGCAAAATTAACCAAAGCGCCCATTTGTCGCATTGTCGCATGTCGCGTTTTGAATAATATTTTTCTATTCCTCCAAAGGGACATAGCGACAATTTTCAAGGTCAAAATATGTCGCGTCGTCGCATTGTCGCCCTATCTAAGAAAAAAGCCTAAAAATAGACTAAAAAACGCGACATATTGACATATGTAAATTGTCGTTGTTGCATTGTCGCCCTTTCGATTACCGGTGCGCATGCGTAGAAAGTCAATTACACTACGCATGGGCAGGAAAAGTTATACTCAATTTCAGACTTCACTGGTCTTTGTTACCTCCAATGGTTTTAAAATGAAGAAGTGCTCGTAATGGCAATGGGGGCTGCTTTTTCTTGAACTTAATGCAAATCTATCATTGTTGCTTTGAAAATTATTTTATATATTGTAAATGTAATTAGCCAATCAAGTGTGTTTTTTAACAATATTTCAGTGGGTGCTTTCAACTGTCGAACATAGTGTCAGCTTGATATCGGTGAAATGTCCAAAATGATGAATGTGTAAGGTGCTGGGATTCGAGCCTATGATCATAGTTATCTGGTGTGACTAAGAGACACAACTATGCACAACAAATTGCCCCGCCTTGAATGACAGGGCCACCGTGTGCCGTCATTACAAAGAATAGTAGCACTAATAATTTGTCTTGCTGCTAAAACACTGATTGGCTTAATACATTTACAATATATAAAATAATTTTCAAAGCAACAATAATAGATATGCATTGCAGGTACGTGTAATTTATCATCATTTTATATTCAAATTTCGAAAGTGTAAAGACTGCAGAGAACGTTATAATTTATGTATTTTTCGTTTGTTACAAAAGTGAAGACAACATGTCTTGCCTTTGGAGAACGGCATGAAATATTAAAGTAATCAACAAACAATCACCCATCAATATTATCAGTCAAAACCTTGGCAGGACTCTTCATCGTAACACTAAAGGGACTAACCGATACATTGCTACCTTGAGGAACATCCATTTCTTGATCGAAGACATCAGAAAATGTGGACTGACTGACTGAGTTTAGTTTTACGCCGCTTTTGGCAATATTCCAGCAATATCACGGCGGGGGACACCAGAAATGGGCTACTCCACCTCCCAGAAAATGTGGAACCGACTCTGACTTTAAAGTTCCTGTCTTCTGAAAACCGTGCAATAACATTATGGTATCGTAGGCTTTTTCCAAGTCAGAGAATATAGATACAACATGTTGATTATCAATAAAACTATTTCGGACAAATGATTCTAATCTCACAAGATGATCGATAGTGTTTCTCTGATGTCTACAAACGAATTGGACATCTGTTATCAGATTATTTGATTCTAGATACCAAACAAGGCCCCTTTTAATTTCTCCATAGTTTTACAGACACAGCTTGTTTATGCTACTGGTCGCTAGTTTGAAGGGTTTGTTCGATCCTGGTTTGGCGACAGAAATGGTAGCAGCTTCATGCCCGGAAGGAGGAAACTTACCTGTTTCCCAAATAGTATTAAATATACATATAACAGAGCTAAAAAGGACAATTCTGGGAGATGCTTCAATAACTGGTAATGGATGCCGTCTGGCCCAGATGCTGTATCATAAGGCTTATTTAAAGTCTCACGTAATTCAGTCAAAGAAAATGGTTCGTTATAATCTTAGGAATTATCACAGATAAAATTCAGAGGTTTCTTTTCTTGGTAACTTTAAAACTTCTGACATTTAGGATCATTGTGAGCAGATGGTGACTTTATGCTAATAGTTTCTGCCAATTTATTAGCAATGTCTTCTCTAGATGTTAAAGTATCATTTTTATATTTGAGACGTTGAATACTGTTCCAGACCTTCTCCTTTTATTCTTCTGATCATACAAAAATATAATCTACAGTTCATCATGTGAAGGATGGTGACAATTAACTTTATTGTTAACTGTCATTGCAAATAATATTACCGAAACTCTTTCCAACATTCTTCATCATCAACTTATGTCGAGGAGACATAAACTCAGACAATGGTGAAGATTTTAATGACTTATTTTCATTACATGAGTCACATACTGCCCTTCAGCAAAGGGCACTGATAATTTTCACTATCACCTCCTGAAGCAATTGCCCGAGTCATGTTAATTGATAAAGATGTCATCACAAATAATATTACCTAAACTCTATCCAAGCATTCTTCATCATCAATTATGTCGAGGAGACAAAATTAAATTTCAACTCAGACAATGGTAAAGACTTTAATGACTTCTTTTCATTACATGAGCCACATACTGCCCTTCAGCAACGGGCACTGATAGTTTTCACTCCCCCAGCAATTGCCCGATTCATGCCTCGAAACCCTGTAATATATTTTGGATCAAGTATGGACTTCAGGGACGTTTCCACCTTCATTGTAGTCCCAATGCCATAGCCTGACCGGAATCGCGCGGATCCATCTAATTACATACCAATATATCTAACTAGCTGCCTGTAAACCCAATGAACAAATACTAAATAATAGATTATTTGGTATCTGAAAACCAATAACCTAATTACAAATATTCAATGTGTTTTCCGGAAAAATCGAAATACTATTGATAGTTCAGTACAATTGGAATCCTTTGTTAAAACGCTATTAATTAAACAAATGTCTATCACTCGTGCACCCACCTTTCACCCAGCGGAATGCTACCTGGATGTTCACTGCACAGTGCGTCCCTTGTATCTAACGTGGGTAATCGTTATACAAATACATGTCTTGTTTGTCTTATACAGTTTTGTGTGCAACAACATTATTCGAGGTATTCTTTTTGTCTGTTCTTTGTGTAGGCTAGGTTAATGAATATGCATATCACGTGCAGTTCATGTTAGTGGGCATTTTTGTTTGGCTGATTGAATAATCTGCTCAAACAAGATTACACGTCGTGGTGTCTTGTGGTTTCCATTGCAATTTGAGAGTCATGGGAAGCCTGACCAGAGTAGTGAACAAATTAATTTATATTTGTTTGTAAAAACATGGTTTATAATGTTGTTAGGTTATAGAATCTCAGTAACATATATGAACCATAGTGTTAGGATAAAATGTTTATTTAGGTATTATTTTATGATGTTATTTTAGATACACCAAACATAGCGATACATTTACGTGTGTGTGGGGTGGGGTGGGAGCGTGTGTATGTGGTGGTGGGGGTAGGTGGGTGTGGGTTAGGTACGTACGTACGTTCGTATGTATGGCCACTTTTCCTATTAAGGCATAACCTCTGTTGCCGTCTTGCAGAGACAATGGAGTCGCTTTGTCTTATAGAATATGAAATGTTTAAAATAGAAATAAAATTCTCGTGTGGAGAATATATCTATTGTATATGCCATATACACAGTATTATTGTGTGAAACAATTGAAAGGGAAATTGTTTGTCATCAATGTGTCTAATTATTGTTCAATGTGATGGTGTTGGTGTTGGTGTTATAGTTTTAGGGCAACGTGGGCCAATAAGAGTCCTATTAGCGCCCGACACATTGCTTGACCCAATGAATCACAAAGTATTATATCGCCAAATAGAATCGTTTAGATAACATAATAGAGACGTCAGGTTTAGTAGTGTTCCTTTGGAAAGACAGAAACATATACGATTAATTACGTGGAAGTAGAGAAGACGTAACAAGAAGAACCTCTGCTTCATATTATAGATTAAAACCTGTAGTCTACACTTCCATTCCTGAAACATGAAATACTCAGTCAATAAATAAAACAGTAGGTCAACATGACAGAGCGTTAAATGATTTATAATCAGCACTAAATCTGTCCAAGCCATTTGAGTGAGTGAGTGAGTTAAAAGTGTACATCTCGTCGGCAATATTACAGCCATACAGCGATGAAAACAAGGTAATCATTTTAAAATATCTGTCGACAAAGGACCAAGTCATTTGAAAACCTTTCTAAATTACCGCATATTTTCCAGATGCAAAGACAAAGTCTAAAACTGCCCGTTGACATTTTTATATAATTTCTGTGCATTAATTCAGCCTCGTGTCATGATATGCCATGACCACGTTATTGCGTTATATCATATAACATGATCCACATGTACGCGATTCGTGGGCACAAGCCTTAGAATGCATTGGATTTAACTGACTTTTAATATTTACTTGTGACTTTACACGCTGATCATCGGCAACATAGATTTTTATCCCCACCGTCTCTACAGCGGTAATATACTGTGGTGGGATACTCTGTTGGGTTTAGAGAAACTCTGTCGACTAATGAAATTGTGACTTTGTGATCTGTTGACATAAGGCTTTGTAGACTTGAGATTCATGGGTTTTTTGTTTTGTTTTTAGGTTTTAGAGTCTACCGCTGACTTTTCGTAATTACCCTAAATGAAGATGATGACGTCACCTGTAAATAATTACATCTCGTTTAATGATTGTTTGAATTCAGAAAAGAGAGATATGTTTGTATTTGAGTTTCTATTTTATTTTTGTAAACATGACTTTGTGAGTTTGTGTATATACATGTAAGTTTATTATTGAACTGTGTGGTGTGGTATGGAGCATGGAAGAATGAAAGACTGGCTTTGAGTGTGATGAGAAATTAAATTAAACCCTAATATCCAGGTAGTAATATCAGCATATTAACATTAATTTAACTTTTTTCAAAAAACACATATTCATAAATAAAGTCTGAATTTAAAAACAGGATGTCGTGGCACTATTAGGTACACTTGTGTCTAGACTACATTCTCCTTCTGTAATACAGGGTAGACACTCCAAAATGATTCTATGGTAATGGAGAAAAATAAAAATGTCAAAAATGTGTAAATAGCAAAAGGCACCACTTTAGGTTCTGTTTGATATATCTACCAATTATTGTTGAAATATACTGAGTGAGTGAGTTTACTTTTACGCCACGCTCAGCAATATTCCTGCTATATGATGGTGATATTTAACAGTTTTCGAGGTGTGATCCGGAAACGAAGCCCACCCCTTCCTTTTGAGACTACGCACAAATTGTTTCCTTGGAAATCAAGTAAAATATAGATGCCAAAAATCCGCAAATTGCAAAGGCACCACTTTGAGATCTGTTGGATATATCTGTCAAGTGTTACTGATATATATTGAGTGGTTTATGTGTTGTGCTCTGGAAACGAAATCCTCCCCCTTTCCCTCCAAATAGTTTCCATGGAAATCGACAAAAACATAAATGCCAAAAATGTGTGAATACACTCTTCAGTGAAACGAAACGGTGATTTGGAGAATATTGGACTCACGTAGCTGCGGCAAAAATAATACAAATATACTATTTCTTTCCAAAACGTCATCTTTGTGTGATTGTTAACAGCTTCAGCGCCAGGAACGCGGCAATTTGAACTTCCCCCCTTGTTTTAGAAGCGTTTGAAGAAATATTCGCCAAAAGTCACCAAGATAAATAATGTAAAGTGCACGTGCAAGTAAGCGGAAAAGCATGTCGATCACTATAAAAGACAAACGTTGTGTTTAATTTTGTCATTCGTTACTGCCTGGGAACAAGGGAATTAATCGTGCAACAACTGAGTGCCGCCAATCGAAACATCACCAAAGGCAGCCTAGAAGCAGGGGAGTCGCAGTCAGCATTTCAAAGTTCATCAGAGCACAATATCTCGCCTTTGGGGTCGTTTTCTGGGTATCTTCCCATTATCAGTATTCCATGTATGACTACTCACAGTTTGAACATAAACACATAACACACCTCTACACTTAATAATGTACTGTACATGTATAGCAGATTACTCCGAGTTTGTCTACTCTTTGAAATAATGATGATTTCGTGTTTAACATCGGCTTCAGGCTGTAGCCTATGTCGCCGACGGGATAGGTGGGAGCTAGTTTAATAATTAATAATTGAATAATAGGGGATAAACCACCATGTAAATGAAGGGGTGTTAACTTACCTTGAATTTAGAATGAAAATGTTTAAAAACATGGTAACTTACCTTGAATTTAGAATGAAAACGTTTAAAAACATTATAATCAAATTTATAAAAACCCGAAATGATCATTTATCAAAAAGTATATAAATCACGTTTATTTTGTCTCAGCTATGGCTTGTGTTCAGCGAGCTGAGTTTGCGAAAAGTTCTTATCAGGAATTCCGAGTGTGGAGGTGTGAAGTATGTTGTTCCAAGATGCGATATCCAGCGATGGATCCAGTGTCAAGGTGTGGGGTGCGATATCCAGCACACAAATATCTGATTTAGTGGTGGTTCAGGGGAATTTGACAGCAAATCAGTACATCAACGAGGTCCTTCCACGTCACATGCTTCCGATTATGGACCGATGGAGGGAGGTATTCCAGCATAACAACTTTACTTCACATGCAGCACGCGTCACGATCCGCTACCTTGCCAATTCTGACGTCAATGTCTTGCCATGGCCTTCCTGATCACCAGAATGTTATGAGAGGATAATGATACAGCCTAGCTTTGCTAGAATGCTCGAGAACTGTGTAAGAGCTATATGGTTGTTGCGTCGTGCGACGGACTTTTCATATGACTGGATTTATACACATCTGTCTGCCATCATCGTCAAGACCGATGGTTCTTGCCTATTCGTCTACTGTCATTGTAAACAACCTTCAGTCAGTATTTATGCTCTCACTGTTAATGTTAAGACTCTGGTGAGTTGATATTTCATATTTGTGACCCAATATTTTAAATTTGTTACTTAATTGCATTGTACTAGAAATCTGTATTGTCTTACATTGTATTTTGCGCATTGTTTATTCAATATATTATTGAATATTTTGGACTTAAGTTCTGTTTTGCTGGTTCAAAGGGGATTCTTAAACCTTTTGTCACGGCAAATTATTAACCGAAACAATATTTACAGAATGTTCTGAGATCTTTCATAACAGATATCTCTTTACATTTAAAGAATGATTTAAATGTTAATATATTTGGTCTTTATAAGGAAGCTGGTATATGTATTCATCTTTCTTTTCTAAAAATATGTGCATTTAAGAATATACCGGTAATGAAAATCATCACCCACATCATTCATATAACATAATTTACATTTTCTTTCATCTATTGGTATTCTATTCCATCTTCCTTTTTAAACTGGTAAATGGTAGCAAGAAGAACGAAAATGGAAAAAGGGGATAACTTTGTTGAAGGGTAGGGACGTTATATCATTTTCAAATTGAGAGTTCAAAAGAGAATATGTTTGACCTTTTTGGAATTTTACAGATCTGAGGTTCTAATTGAGGCTACTGTCGTTCTTGAAGCATAAACATTATGAATGACAACTTCTTGCTTATTGCTTAGAGGGATGTAGATTCGTACACCGTATTCAAGCTAAAGGTGACTATAAATGAAGAGAAGTACATATACATATGTATATAAGTTATGACAAACAGCAGACTAACATTTCCACTGTCTCTCCAATCTTCGGAACCATCCTCCAAGCTAATACACCAGAACTTGTCATCCATGAAGCTGTATGCTTCATTTGTTACTCGCCAACTTCTAGAATGTAGATCAAACAATGCTTGTCGTTAAAACACGGAACAAGTAAGAATGTTTTATTTCATTAGACCACGGCAGGTTCCAGTGTGCCTCATAGAAATGCAGCTCGTGTCGTTAGGGAATTAGTAGCATTCTTTATTGATTAAACGTAAAAGGTTACAGGCCAGATCTATATATAAAAAACATGACATAACACTTCGGTATTTGATAACTCTAACATACAATGTTGTTACAAGTATATATGTAAGCACTGAAAAGCAAGCATGTGTCCCCATGCGAGAAATTATATTTTCCAAATGCTGCTTTGGTATAAGAGCATTGACAGATTCAGACTACTAACGTCACAGATTCCACTGGGCGTCAATGAAGAAGAAGAAGTTTATTGCGAGCCGGAGGCCTAAAATATGATAAACATCTTCTTCTTCATTGGGCGTCAAAGACAACATTTAGTCATGTAAGGATGAGGTTTGCAAGATGAGCATACAGGTACGTCTATGTGCAAGTTAATCAAATACATCACATGATATTAACACCTGAGGTATTTGTTTTGCTGGAAATCTTTATAATTTCGAATTATTGTGTGTGATACAGTGTCCAGGGGATTTGAAAAAAAAGCATGGGCAAAACTATACAAGACCATGGGTCAAATTGACCAAATATCTTATTTATAATACTTTATAGTGTATAATAATATATATTTGCAATACATGTAGTTTCACCATTTTGTCTGCGCTAATCCAATAAAGAACGTCGGTGCAAAAGAATGCCCTGAATGACTATCCTCAGAAACAATACAATAGTAAATCATACAATATGTACATAACACACACGATCAATGAACAAAGGATGTCGTTCAGAATCATAAAGGGGCTTTAGAAAACCACACCTATTTAATAATTGCATTACATTTTTGTCTATATACATAGATAAAACAGTTGTAATTCAATCAGCATGTTGATCGCGAAAAACATAATTACAGAACACCGCCTTAAAACCAAAGTGTGATTTCTTGTCTTTATGTGCAAGTGTATGCTTTTCCTTTTTTAAATAACATCCTCTTGACAAGACATTCTTTCCCTATACGCTACGAATTTTACAAACTGATTCGTTCATAAAGAACTTAACCCTTTACAAACACGTGCATGAACACGTGTATTAGCTGGTGAAGAAAAGAACACCCAAGACCTTCGTACCGCACATTGATACCGACTCAATCTAATCATAACATTAAACATTGTTGTGTCGATCTTATGGTTATCTCGAAGTAAAAGCTGGGTCCCGGTGTATTCCTTAAAGTGTACCTAATAAAATGACTCCAAACACATTTGATCAGGAAAGTTAAAAAACAAATCTAATTGGAGTTTTGCCAGTAATGATATGTTCCAGTACTGCTGTTTTTCTTTCAGTTGCAAAATTCAATAAATATACTTAAAATATCAGTAATATCTATAATAAATATTGCAAGGAATTATTAATAAGATTAATAAAAACTTTAAAACACTTTATAACCAGACTGTGAAACAGGATGATAAATCGGCAGATTTGTTGGTAGGTATTTCCGGTGTTCCCTGCACACGGTAATGACCGACCGTGGTGGCCAATGATCAAAGCGTTCGCTCGTCACACCGAAGGCCCGGGTTAATTTCCCCGTGGGTACAATGCGTGAAGACATTTTCTGGTGTCTCTGTCGTGATATTACTGCAATATTCGGGTGGTCAGGCTCGCTGACTGGGTTGACCCATGTCATTGTATCCCAATTGCATAGGTCGATGTTCATGTTGTTGATTCATGGATTGTCTGGTCCAGACTCGATTATTTACAGACTACCATCATATAGCTGGAATATTGCTGAGTGCGGCGTAAAACTAAACTCACTCACTTACTGGAATATTGCTAAAAGTGGCGTAAAACCATACTGACTCACTCACTTTATACAGCAATCAAGCTCCGTTCGCGACCCCAAAAGCAACGACCCATCAATTTGTTTAGGAAACTAAATTGCATACAAGATTGCTAGCTCTAGATCAGTGCCTATTCAAATAGCTAAGGACCCGGGGCGCTCAGTACGTCGAAAACGGTATATTCTGCTTGGCATGAATATATACCGAAAGTTAGCATAAGGTATGATGTAGAAACAAACAGTTCATGTCATAGAAATGCTTGAAAACAATACGCATGCTTCAGATTGGCGAAAATACATGATTGAAATCTCCTGCCTATATTGCTACAAGGTGAACCCGTGAAAGACAATTAGTCAAGTCTACATTTTTCAAATGATCGGTTACCAAAAGCTACGACTGAAATAAGCTTTGCAGTTCTATTTTTGAAGTATAGTCCGTAACACTAGTAGTATAAAGATTTTACCCTTGGTTACAGTTTTCAGGTACAACAATCTCACACATATACCAGTGAAGTTCCACACATTTCACTCTAAACCATTTCTTCGTACCAGAGTTAAACACCACACAACTGAAGGTTCCTGGAGGATCAGACCAATAGAAGAAGGCTGGCGCCTGCCCTTGGTGCCATTTCCAGACATCGTTGAAGGAGATTCCGATCCAAATGTCTTTCCCTTTAGAAAGGAGGACAATTAGTTCACAATATATTCAGTTTAGAATGAGTGAGTGATTACTGCTAAACGCCGCATAACCTATCTTATTAATCTTGAAAATTTATATTCAGCTTATATATAAACCATTTTAGAATTTGTTTACTTTCATTTAACACATTCTTTAAAGGCAACGGGGCAGTGGGGTATCCTTGTCGTAAAAGCGTTCTCTCGTCACGCCGAAGACCCGAGTTCGATTGCCCACACGTGTGAAATGGGTGGAGCCTATTTCTTACTGCTTCAAAATGAAGCTCCTTTCAGTGTAGTTCGGCATATTGTTCAGTTTGGTTTCTTTTGTTTTTGTATTTTCCCTGTTTTTTTCAGGATAGCACACCAGCTCTGCGAAAGTACACCAGAAAATCAACACTGTCTTCAATACAGTGTTCGATATTTTGCATAACTATCGAGATATTTCTGCCATCATCGCATACACAATGTGATCACTACACGCACAAAACTGAACATTACTGAAATCCTGCCAAAGCAGTGTAAAACACAATTCACTCACTCACTCATTTACGGGACCGCATTTAGCTCACTGTTCCATTCAGTGTCACTCTCCTTGTGAACAAGTCACTGTTTCCTTAACACTATATTACAAAGATCTGACAAAAGAATTAGGTCAAGTACAAAATGTGAAATATGTGATAAACCAAAATATGAATGAAGACATGTTTAGTGCACTTCACATAAAGTCTTTATAAACACTATACTTATCATTGTTTTATCCCCCATTCAATTAACGATTTCTTTATCATTACGTTCATATATGTAGAGAGAGGCTTTTTGTCGTTCATGAAATATCATGGAATATGGTTTCTAGTACATGCGTTTTAACAGTTTTGAGTTGTGTGGTATCATTGTATATTCTGAGCTTACAGACGTCACGCCATTATGTCCAACTCTGAAGACGTTAAAGCACACACGGTCGTTACGTATAACTACAGGTGGACAGGTTAGCTATCCTTCTATATCCGACTGAGTTTGACCTTTGATGTTTGAACAGTATTACAGTCATATCATGGAGGGTTTGTTTAATATGGGAGGAAAACTCACGTAATGACGGTCTCGGATGTTTACCGATGAAAAATAATCAGGGGCACCGATCAACAAAAATCATTTTCTGGCTTTTCCAAGGGACACACGTCTGTACGGCGAATTTCGGCGCTTAAAACGCCAGGGGCAATCGGTGTTCTGTGGCTTCTTTGAATAATGACAGAACCACTTGAGTCATGTGAAAATGGGATGTTCTTTAAGTTCTTTTGAGTAGTATATTTTCTTTCATACTGTACCTCTTCGTTTGACCATAGTGTACACTAGGCCATTCTGCTCTGCCGAGTAGATATTAAACCCCCTGGCGTTCACACTCATACAGTCGACTTTAGCATCACTGGCCTTCTTCAGTTCTTCGAAAAGATAGAAACATTTATTCGTTGGTTTGTGGTATACCCATCCGTCTGGGCAGTCATCTGAAAAGAGAATTGTGTATTCATTTATTAGTCATTACTGCCTGGCGACCTAAAATCTCAGTGAGTGAGTGGGTGTAGTCCAGTAACCCATGCTTGTCGTAAGAGGCGACTAACGGGATCGGGTGATCAGGCTCGCTGCGTAGATCGATGCTCATGCTGTTGATCACCGGATTGTCTGGTCCAGACTCGTTTATTTACAGACCGCCGCCACATAGTTGGAATATTGCTGAGTTCGGCGTAAAATTAAACACACTCACTCCCTGTCTTTAAAGTTACGGATACAGCTCGCCACAGCAACATGTTTCCCCGTTTCACGATACTACATGCGGAGACCTTGTGAATCAACACATTCCGGTGGCCCTTTTAAACACCATATCATCCAACAGGGACATGAGTAAGTGAGTTTATGAAGCCCCCAAGATTGTATCTATACGATATTCTGCTGACTACTAAACATAGACTTGAGGGCGAATCTGATGTTCGAACTCACAATTGCATATGGAACTTCCTCGCTTATAATAATAATAATAAGTACATTTATAATGCGCCAAATCGAGACACAAAATGTATGCTCATAGCGCTACATAAGAGATTCTGACATCACCAGGTTAAGAGATCGCGACTAGAAATGATTAGAGTCTATAGAACTGAGTGAAGAGAAATGTTTTGAGACTGTCTTTGAACATTTGGAGAGTAGGGATTCCTTTAAGATGATCTGGGAGTTTATTCCAGAGAGTGGTGGCATTGTAAGTAAATGATCTCTGACCAAATCGTCTCAGACGTGGGGTTGGAACAGAGAAGAGATGTTGTTGGGCAGATCGGAGGACTCTAGATGGGTGGTAGACTTGTGTGAGTTCTGACAGGTAGGAAGGTGCTGACTGGTGATAACACTGAACACGTGCATCAACAGGTAGCCAGTGCAGTTTCATTAGTATGGGCGTGATGTGCACAGATTTCTTTGATCGTGTAACTATCCTTGTGGCAGAATTCTGAATTCGCTGAAGCCTGGACATCTGTTCTTTGGTGATGTTACATAAAAGACTATTACAGTAGTCCAACTTGGATAGCACTAAACTCCTGACAAGCATATGGGCAGTATCAGTAGACAGCAGGTGCCGGGTGCTGCCGATGTTCCTGAGATGATAGTGACAAGCTCTGCAGGTCATAGTGATGTGCTGATCCATCGACAGGTCATTGTCCAGGATAACTCCAAGATTTCTAACACAGTCAGTGAGAAGAACCTGAGACTGTCCAACACTAAGAGATGAAACATTTGCCTTGTTCCGCTTATCACGTGTACCAATCAACATGGCTTCTGTTTTGTCTGTGTTTATTTTCAACATGTTTGTGTTCATCCAACACTGAATGTTGCTGGTGCAGATACCCATATGAGAGACAGCAGTCTGGGCGTTCTGAGGCAGGAAGGAATCAAGTAACTGAGTGTCATCAGCGTAGAAATGATGACCAATATTCATGGATGAGATGAGTTTTCCCAGATCAGAGGTGTAGATGGTAAATAAAACTGGACCCAGAACAGATCCTTGAGGAACACCACATTTCAACAGAGTCTTGCTGGAGGAAACCCCCTGGATAACAACAGATTGAAACCTGTCAGTGAGGTAAGATGTGAACCAGTCCAAAGCAACTCCGTCTATGCCAATAGAATTCTTCAAAGTTCTAATGAGTCTCTCGTGATCGACTATGTCGAAGGCGGAGGAGAAGTCCAACAACACCAATAGGCCGACCTTACCACAGTCGCATGTTGTAAGTAACTCATTGGAAACTCTCAGAAATGCCGTTTCAGTACTGTAGCCAGGTCGATATGGTATTAAACATTTCACAGCATCCCGTCGAACTGGGAAGGGACATACATGTAAATCTTTGTGGGCCCAATATTTACAAGTGGCTTGACCAAATGTAATCTGGAAAGCAAAGTTTCAGATGTGGACCCGAACTTCCTCAAGAGTTTGTGGGCGGTGGGGTTGCCTCAAGGTTTTTGCGTTCGCTCGTCACCCTTAAGTGAATGAGTGAGTTTTGTTTTACGCCGCTTTTGGCAATAATGTGACACCAGAAATGGCCTTCACCCATGTGGGGAATCGAACCCGGGACTTCAGCGTGACAGGTGAACGCTGTAACCTCTATTCTACCCCAACCACTAGGCTACCCCACCGTGTGTTGAGAGAAAGGCTTAATCACTAAAGTACCTCTTCACCACCACCCCCACCCCAACCCCTCCAACCTCCGTCACACAAACACACACACGCACGCACGAACTCGTACGTACGTACGTACATACATACATACATACATACATACATACATACATACGTACATACATACATACATACATACATACATACATACATACATACATACATACATACATACATACATACATACATACATACATACATACATACATACATACATCGTGACTTACCTCTGTGAAATATGTAGTAAGTAACTCCAGGTTGATTTGTTAGGCCTGCTACTTTGTCATTAAACCAGGTGTTACTCTGGTAGCACAGCTTCCGGTTGCGGTCATGGAACACTGATGCGCATGTCAGGTTGTAGAAGCAGGTGTTCACACAGTGTGCGGCTGACAACGAGGTTTCGGGGTGAAGGTCAGGAGACAGAAGGTTGTGCATAAGGATCGTCACATACAAAGCAGTTTCCATGACCATGTGAGGGGCACTTGAGGCACTGAGACATCAATGTATCCTGAAAGTGTTAAAATAAACATTAAAATCGAAAGTTGATAAAAAAAAAGATTAAAATTTAAGTTAAAGGGGAAATGTACACGAAAGAAAGTATAGATTTGAAACACGGATTCGTCCGAGAAATTCCAACTGTATACTCATGGATACGAATAAGGGAACAAATGAAAGTACAAGTGTTTCTTTATTCTTTTCCTCGTTTCTTCACAAGGTACTAGTATGTGTTGCACTGTGGGTGAAATTCTGGAAATAAATAAAGGAACACTTGTACTTTCATGTGTTTCCTTAATCGTTTCCACGAGTACAACAGAAACACTTTTAGGATGAAAACATTAATCGAAGCACTGTAAACTGAATGTCTCTTTCATGTTTATTTCATTTTAGGAACAATTTAAAGATGTATTGTTACGTGTTGGTCCAGGCTGAAACCGGAAACCAGTCCTTTAAAAACCAACAGCGAAGACACGTGAAAATTATCAATTTTCTAAGAAATTAATACAAATCACTAGGAACGTGTTGCAAAGTAATTACAATGACAGTACACGACAGAGTAGCAGTACAAAAATCAATGGCAGAGCAAAATAGCAATGAAATAGAAATAAAATCAGTGGTCATGATATTCGCCTAGCAACAACAGCGGCCAAAGGTCCAAACAGGTCCTAGGCTGGATATCCAGGAGCAAAACACAGTGATCCAGTGATCTTCACACAATCGCTGTTCTATATGTAAACGAGATAAGACAGGCATACACGTACCCACTTATATAGTCTAAATGACTCTCAGAAAGTTGTATACAATGCTTCATCAGTATATAGCTTCTTGAAGGTTCCTGATTACACTTCAGTATATAGGTATCTAAATATGATAAATTCCACACCACAGCTTACATCAGATTATAATAAATTCCTGACAACTAATTATTGTTAAAAGACAGGGTTATAATTTTTTATTTACTGAATCTTCGCAGAAACAACCGAATACAGTTATAACTTTGTTTAACAAGAATTGCACTGCTATATATAAAACTTTCGCGTGGTTTTCGTAGGTTATTTTTCTCAAAAGAAGCATATACTGTAATTTTATTGTGTTTTTAATTACAATGAATTCTGTAGAAAGTACTTGTTAAACTTTTCCACATCAGTGGGCGCTGACTACACGAACAACCATTTACACCATCGGAGTTCCATAGCACAACCAGGTCACACACTGAAACCAGTCGGTCGGCTACAGTTACTGTGGACAAAGTGTGGTCCAGTGGATACAACAAGCTTTGTAAATCATCATATATGAGCAACGAGGATGGTGTTGATAAATGTGATGTCAACTAAATTCGACTGGTATGCCTTCAAGATTTTTAACATCATTTTACAGAAACATGCCGGTCTGCTTATAAATATCTAATTACTTTCCTACCATATTATGCGTTGCATCCCATTAGCCATACGCCTATTTCTCATACGGCCACTAGTCATACGGAACGGAACGGAACGGATTTATTAAAACAACAAGGGTCGTGCTCCCTACGATACAATAGATTCGTCCGCTTTTCTTGTGTGTGTGGGCCGCTTTTAGTAATATTCCAGCAACATCACGGCGGGGACACCAGAAATGGGCTTCACACATTGTACCCATGTGGGGAATCGAACCCTGGTCTTCGGAGTGACGAGCGAACGCTTTAACCACTAGGCCGCCCTACCGCCCCGGTTCTCTTGTGAGAGATACAAGGTGATAGTCAAACATAAGTCAATACGCCTTCTCTGCATACCGATTGTTTTGAATATGTTCTTAGAAAAGTGGGGTAAGAATATAATTCCATTTCCAAAATGAATTAAACTATTATGCAGATCTAAGGTAATACTCTATTTTGTAAACTTTCAGTCTACTCATGGTGTGACATATCAAGAGTACTAGTATGTGACCAACGTACAGAAGAAATGTTTGTATGTGATGAAATGTTTTACATATATATACTTATTATAAGATTTAGATAAGATAACATAAGATAAGAGGCGTACAATTTGTGGGTAACTAACTGGGGTAACAGATTGTACGGATAGTCCAGTAATAAACGATGATACATTTTATAATGTGTAAGCAATTTATAGTATTTTCTCCTTTCACTCAACGAAGTGAAAGAAGTTTCGCAATTAATATTTTCATGGCGTGTTCCACGGACAGCACCACATATTGTTTTAAGGGCATCTATATGTAGTTTTTCTAAGATAGGGGCCCGCTGATCTGTACACCGAAAAGTCTGATGTTATGTCTATGTCATTTATGTATAAAATAAAAAAGAAGTGGTTCTAAAACTGAACCCTGTGGAACACCAGCCATTACGGGTCAATGTGGAACTGAAAACCATTGATAACAACATTTTTGTACTCTATTTTGTAAATAATTTTCAAACCATTTTAGTAAATTTCCTTTAAGTCCATTTGCCAGAAGCTTTCGGATAATTCCCTTATGCCACACTTTGTCAAACGCCTTGCTAATGTCGCAGAATATACGCATTAATACACTCTGCTAATGAAATGATGTGTCAAAGAGTATGACCAAAGTATTGAAGACATGTTTTATACATGTGACAAAAGTACTGACGAAATGCTTTTTATGTTTATTCTTGTTATAAGAATAAATAACTCTTGCTAAATTCCTTTTGTTTCGTTTCATATGGGTCATTCCATTTACCTGCAGAGGTACTAAGGGTTCACATGCATGAGCAATCAACCATGACATGTGTTTATTTAGACGTATGACTAATGGGGTGACACCATATTATGATCACACACAGCGTATTAATGAACTACAGTTCAAAGTAGCGTTAAACAGCTCAATTACAATTGTTACATTACATTACTTTAGTTTTTCATGTCCTATTAAATACAATTAATATGTCATTTTTACTTATTTCTTTTGTTCAGTTATAAAACTATGCAACATTTTATAACTGTTGAATTGTACATTAGCGACAGTTATCTGTATATATTATATGTCTAAGTTTTCACTCTCTGTCGTTTACCACTATCGTAGTATCCTTTAGTTTAACTCAGCTCAATGTTTTGACAGGGAAACTTCATCAATGTCAACTTCTTTACATTAAGTATATTCTTAATCCTTTATCAATCACCCGATGAAGGAGTGAGAATATACGCCGACAAGGTGGGTTCTATATTGTAAAGAAGATGACGTCCATGAAATGACCTTGTCAAGTGAATAACTTCTAAATTTCATTCAAAGACTTAATATTGTGAGTCCGAAAATGTTCCTATTCAATTTGTGGTGATGGATTAAGTAGCAGTCAATACTTACATCTCAAGTATCGTCTGGGTGACTTGTGGCTGTCTGAATGTTTGTCTTCAGATGAAGAAAGGAAAGACTGCTAGGATCTTTCAGCCTATCGGTAAGTGCATCTGTACGTGCCTATCAGTGACTGTTTCGTTGCAGCTACGGCTTATGTGCAAAATCAATTCGACAGAAGCCGTTTGAGAGAACATGTCCATGAGACTGAACGTATGTAATGTATGTGTAATCATTCACTCGGAAACACGTTTGTTAGATGAAGACGAAAACCAACCCTCATGAATAGGAGTAGTTCGATACACTAAACCTGTGTCCGCGTCTAAGCGAATGTGGTGCATCCACTGGACTGTATGTACTGGCGTCTAGTTTCAAAGAGTTATGTACTGGATAACGGGACTCCTGGTAAGCTGTGAGTAATTAATTTTATTCAGCATATTCCACTGGGACACGTTTCTCGTTGGTCGTCAGGAATCGATATTCTTCTCGAATATGGTTATTCTGGGTACATGCCATGATACCCTTAACATGTACAAACCGCTGACCTGCCTGACCCTGAATGAGTTCTCTACATCATACATGCAGTATAAGAGCTATTTAGCAGGCATCTTAAATCAGTGTCATATACATGCTATTATAATTCAGCATATAAAAGCTTTTTGGGTATTATTTATTTTATTTTTTCAAAAGAGTGTTTTATCTTTACACATAGTGAGTAAACTGTAAAATTCTGTAAATTGATTACTTATTGATCTGTTCAAATCAGTTGTAACTTTTGTTTCAGTTTATGCATTTGTACTGTTTCTGTATAACTCTGTATAGATAAAAATGTACACGTTCACTGTTTACAGTGTTGATCGCCAGCCCATCCATGTGGCGCTCGGGGTATACCAACAGCAGACTCCGTTGGAAATCTCGGTGATCGGCGTTCTCCGGATTATCTGCTATTCATAATAATGTCTTCCGGCCCATCATCATCATCATCATCATCTTTATTTCCTCCTCTGTAGGAGATTAGATGCGTATTACAACAACAAGACAGCATGAGTATGCACATCTAGGAGAGGGTTAGTGGATGAGTTTAGTTTTACGCCGCACTCAGCAGTATTCCAGCTATATGGCGGCGGTCTGTAAATAATCGAGTCTGGACCAGACAATCCAGTGATCAACAGCAGGAGCATCGATCTGCGCAATTGGGAACCGATGACATCTATCACCAATCCCGTTAGTCGCCTCTTACGACAAGCATGGGTTACTGAAGGTTCATTCTAACCCTATTGTTTCGGTGGATGCCTTTTAGCTGATAACACCATTAAGATAAATATCAGTTCTGAAATGAAAGCAACACCGGTGTGTATGTGTGTGGTGTGTGTACCCAGGTCTCATTGCATGGCTGGAATATAATAATGAATGTATAAAACATAATATAACCACTAACAGTTTCATCGCATATTTGCATCGTGCATTATTTTGCTACATTATGTCATCTGGGTTGGCGAACTTTTTCGTGTTGTGAAGATGTGCTCATAGACAACAACCAGAGTATATCGAGTATACCGAAGATACAGTACAACCAGAGTATATCCTGTATACCGAAGATACAGTACAACCAGAGTATATCCAGTATACCGAAGATACAGTACAACCAGAGTATATCCTGTATACCGAAGATACAGTACAACCATAGTACATCCTGTATACCCAAGATACAGTACAACCATAGTACATCCTGTATACCGAAGATACAGTACAACCAGAGTACATCCTGTATACCGAAGATACAGTACAACCAGAGTATATCCAGTATACCGAAGATACAGTACAACCAGAGTATATCCAGTATACCGAAGATACAGTACAACCAGAGTATATCCTGTATACCGAAGATACAGTGCAACCAGAGTATATCCAGTATACCAGAATATCCAGTACAACCAGAGTACATCCTGTATACCGAAGATACAGTACAACCAGAGTATATCCTGTATACCGAAGATACAATTACAACCAGTATACCGAGATACATCAACCAGAGTATATCCGTATGCCGAGAGATACAGTACAACCAGAGTATATCCAGTATACCGAAGATGCAAGTACAACCAGGTATATCCAGTATACCGAGATACAGTACAACCAGTAGTATATCCTGTATACCGTATACGAGATGCAATTACAACCAGAGTATAAGTATACCAGATACAGTACAACCAGGTATATCCTGTATACCGAAGATACAGTACAACCAGGTATATCCTGTATACCGAAGTATACCGAAGATGCAAGTACAACCAGAGTATATCCTGTATACCGAAGATACAAGTACAACCAGAGTACATCCTGTATACCGAAGATACAGTACAACCAGAGTACATCCTGTATACCGAAGATACAGTACAACCAGAGTATATCCTGTATACCGAAGATACAGTACAACCAGAGTATATCCTGTATACCGAAGATACAGTACAACCAGAGTATATCCAGTATACCGAAGATACAGTACAACCAGGTATATCCGAAGTATACCGACCAGATATACCAGTACAACCAGAGTATATCCAGTATACCGAAGATACAGTACAACCAGAGTATATCCTGTATACCGAAGATACCCGTCCTTCACATTTCATCAGGCTCTCTGAACACCCGAGGGAACAACGGGTAAAATTTGGACGGTGGGTAATCTGGAGATTCAACAATGTCACGATGACGTGTCTTGTTCATCGATGAACCAGGGTGTGGCTGTGACAACAGTATTCAACATCCCTGCTCTCCACCCGCCATCCACAATAACGATGCTGTAGAGGACGCCATCTTGCAACACTATGCCTGCGCCTTTACTAAACATTGCCAGGCTGGTTCGGCCCACAACAAGTTCAGAGTGAGTGAGTTAAGTTTTACCCCGCTTTTAGCAATATTCCAGCAATATTCCGACGGGGGACACCAGAAATGGCTTCACGTACTGTACCCATGTGGAGAATCGAACCCGGGGGTTCGGCGTGACCACTCGGCTAGAATCAGGCTGATTACTGTGGGTAGAGTAAAGGACGTAGTGGAGTGTTGAGCAACATTGTTCCTGGCTCCGGTGACCCCAACCACCAGACTTTCGTATTTCTCCAACAAAGGGGCACAACACATAGGTGGCCCAATGTACTCGCTTATACGACAAAAGGCCTTAGGTATTCACGGGTGGTCACGTTGCATCGTCACCAGTTGGTCTCATTCGCTAGTCACGCCAAAGACCCTGGGTCGATAAAAAAACAACAACATGAGTACAATGTGTCAAAAGCTTCACGCGTTGTACCGATGTGGGAAATCGAATCCGGGTGTTCAGCGTGAAGAGCGGACGCTTTAACCATTAAGCTACCTCACCGCCCCTCACCAACTTCCAGAGTGCCGATCACACAATTACTTTCATAAAAAACACCGAACAAGTAAGAATGTTTGATTTCATTAGACCACGCGAGGTTCCAGTGAACGTCATAGAAATACCATTCATCGAAATCAGATCATGTTGTTAGAGAATTAGTATCATTCTTTATTCATTAAAATGTAAAGGTTACAAGCCAGATCTATTTACAAAACATGAGGACGTAACACTTCGGTATTTGATAACTCTAAGCAATACAATATGTTGTTACAAGTATACATGTAAGCACTGAAAAGCAAGCATGTGTCCCCATACGAGAAATTATATTTTCCAAACGCTGATTTGGTATAAGAGAATTGGTAGATTCAAAATGCTAACGTCACAGATGCCATTAGGCGTCAAAGGCAAAATAGTCATGTGCGGATGAAGTTTTCAAGAGGAGCATACGTGAATGTACAAGTTAATCCAATACATCACATGATAATAACACCTGGGGTATTTTTTTGCTGGAAATCTTTATGTTCTCGAATTATTGTGTGTGTTACAATGTTCAGACAACCAAAATGGAAATTGTGAAGTTCCAAGGGGGATTTGAAAAAATGCATGGGCAAAACTATACAAGACCATAGGTCTAATTGACCAAAATAGCTTTGGGTTTATATCACTATATATTGCAATATATGTAGTTTTCACCATTGTATCTATGCAAATCCAATAAAGAACGTCGGTGCAAAAGAATGCCCAGTCTTGACTATCCTTAGAAATAATTGAACAAAGGGGAAAATGACAGCCCTTGAGCGTATAAATTCTGATTGTTTCCTGATGAGGAAGAGAGTTTTTATGGATGTCAACTTCTTTATCATGAGGAACACAACGTTTCGGAGTATATCCTTACTCCCTCGTATGTGAATGAATGGTATATGACAGATAGCTTATATATGTACATGTAAGAACAACAAAAGTAATAAGACAACAAATATGCAAAGAAAACAATGGAACAAATGGAAGCCAGCGGTTAACAGTTAATTAGCGCTGAATGGACGCCAACACTAAATCACTTAATCACTATTCCCAAATAGGAACATTTGATGTTTAACCCAGAAATTAAAATATACAATAGTAAATCGTACAATATGTAAATACCACACAAGATCAATAAACAATAAACATGATATTAAAACACAAGGGATGTGGTTCAGACTCATAAAGGGGCTCTAAAGCCACATCTTCTTAACAATTGCAATACATTTTCTTTCCATATACATAGATAAAAAACAGTTGTAATTCAACCAAAATGTTGATCACGAAAACCATAATTACAGAACACCGCCTTAAACCGGAGTGTCATTTCCTGTCCTGATGTGTATGTTGCTATTCATAATCCTTTTTAAGAATAACAGCCTCTTGACAAGACATTCTTTCCTTATACTCTGCGAATTTTACAAACTGATTCGTTCATAAAGAACTCAACCCTTTACAAACACGTGCATGAACACGTGCATTAGCTGGTGAAGAAAAGAACACCCAAGACCTTCGTACCGCACATTGATACCGACTCAGTCTATCATAACATTAAACATTGTTGTGTCGATCTTATGGTTATCTCGAAGTAAAATCTGGGTCCCGGTGTATGCCTTAAAGTGTACCTAATAAAATGACTCCAAACAAATTTGATCAGGAAAGTTAAAAAACAAATTTAATTGGAGTTTTGCCAGAAATGATATGTTCCAGTATTGCTGTGTTTCTTTCAGTTGCAAAATTCAATAAA